ATATATATATATATATATATATATATATATACACTGGTGTGCAAAACATAGAGGGCGAAAGCAACTTCCGATTACTGTTCCTCTGCCAGACGACAGAGCTCGATGAAATTTATATCGTACCAGTAGAGAATCATTGCGGTATTGCACAGGAAGCAACTGACAAAAATTCGAAGTAGGACGAGCAATAAAATATTTTTATTCAAAGGTATCGATTACACATAGTTCCTTACTACTTATCCATGTACTTCAGAAAAAGCGACGCGGTTTCTAATAGGGTGTGTGATCACCACGGACAGCAGTAAATGCTCTGCAACGCGATCCCTTTCTTTCCACGAGGTTGGAAATGAGTTATTGTGGAAGGGCATTCCACTCCTCTATCAGGGCAATTGATAATTGCTGGATATTCAGTGGTGCATTAGACGTGCTGCAATGCCTCTATCCAGTGCATCCTACACGTGCTCGATGGGATCCAGGTCGGGGGAATGGGCAGGCCACTCCATTCGCTGGATAACCTCTCGTGTCAAGAGCTCTTCCATCTGAGCTGTCCGATGCGGTCGCGCATTGATATTCATAAAAAATTTATTGAGGGCTCACTGCAGCCTCGAAAAGATACACATTAGGGTCAAAAATCTGGAGGTAAGTACGGTTACGAAGCATGATGCCTCCCCATGCCATAACACCTCGACCACCAGAACGATCAAGTTCCACAACGTTGCTGAGAGACGCGCGTGTCCCCACCTCTGGCCATAAGGGTGCGTCCAGAATCGCTACTCAGACTGAATCTGCTCCCATCCGAAAAAAGCGAACGGCCCCATTTTTCATCGGTCCGTTCTTTGTGCTCCTGGCACCACCCTAAACGGTCTCGCCGATTCGCGAGGGACAAAGGAACACTACGTAGTGGTCGTCGGACGAAGAGACCGTAACCGTGCAATTGTCGTGCCACTGTAGCACGTGGGGATGACTTGCTTCAAAATCCTATCAAATGATATTGCGATCAAAAAGGCTGACTGACGTGGATCTATTCTTGCCCGCTGCACAATGCAGCGGTCATACCTTAGTGTAGTTGTTCTTGGTCGACCACCTACTCGCCTTCGTGCAGCAGAATCAGTGGTTGAAATGCTCTCCGCGCACGTGAAACAACGCTGTGAGCGATACCAGGTTCCTAAGCTGAACTCGTCATGGTTAGACCTTTTTCGAGTTTCTCGATATCCTTCCTCGTGCCAGGTAATCCAGACGATGTCTGCGGGATATGATGTATGGAAGGATAACACCACAGTGTTTGGTAGCTAC